CCACTCATAGGGACCCCATTAGACAGAGTAGAGCTACCCAGGAGAGTTTTCCAGGCTGTAATCTTTACAGGAGGAGATTGTCAGGTCTTCCACAGAGTTAATGGGTAGATTCAAACTACCAGCTTTCTAGTTAGCAGCTAAATGCTTAAGCATTGTGCTACCTGGCCTCCTGTGTTGTTGTTGTTATGTGCCTTTCAGTCGCCCCGATTCATAGCGACCCCTCCTTGGGTTTCCGAGGCAGTATCACTACAGAAGTAGATTGCCCAAACTTCCTTCCAAGGAGTGGCTGGTGGGTTTGAACTACCATCCTTCTGGTTAGCAGTCAAGTGCCTTAGGCACTATGCTACCAGAGCTCCTTGGCCTCCTGTAGAAATGGTTAGTTCTTCCTAAATCCCAAACTGGAAGGATTAAAGGGAGGGGCACCTTCCACTTTACTACATATTACTGAATCGCTCTTCTAAGTGGTTATTTCCAGTGGTACTCCCACTGGCTGTGTGGGAGAGCCTCTGCTGTTCCACATCCTGGCCAACTCTTGGTGCTATCAGACTTTTCTTTCTTTCCCCAATCTCATACATGTGAAATACTAGCTCATATTATTTGTTTTAGTTGGCATACCTTGAGTATTAATGGGATTGAGATTGTCTGCATATGTTTATAGGGTATTTATAGAAGAAAAATTATGGATACACATTGTTCTATTAAGTTGTTAATATTTTCTAATAATTCCTAATAATAATTTCATTTTATAAGGACATCGATGTGTTGTATTTTGACTGTTTTTAATTGCTTTTGAAAATCTGGACTGGTATGATTTAAACTAATATGTATATTCAGAATTCTTGAAATCGAAGTTTAACACTAAAATTTTAAAAAATGGTATTAGTAAAATGTATATATAAAAGATACTATTGAGAAAATCAAAACATATGCAATAGACTGAGAGAAAATATTTTCAAAACACTTCTCTGACACAGAATATACATGGAACTCATCTTGAAAAGGATAAGATAAACACCCAATCAAAAATTATCAAAAAGATTTGAATAGATTTTAAAAAAGAAGATATAAGGATGACTTATAAATACATGAGAAGATGCTCAATATAACTAGTCATTAGAAACTGCATATTAAAACTACAATGAGATAACATGTCATACACATACTGGGAAGGAGCTCTGGTAGCATAGTGACTCAGGCACTTGACTGCTAACCAGGAGGCTGGTGGTTCAAATCCACCAGCCACTCCTTGGAAGGAAGGTTGGGCAATCTACTTCCGTAGTGATACCACCTCGGAAACTCAAGGAGGGGTCGCTATGAGTCAAGGCCAACTTGACGGCAACAACAACACACACACTGGGATGGCTATAATAAAAAAGACACACAAATGTTGGTGAGGTCATGGAGAAATTGTAACCTCATACATTCCTGATGAGAACGTAAAATGGAACAAACATTTTGGAAACCAGTTTGGCAGTTTTCTTAAAATAAAATTAAACATAAATTTTCCACAGGACCCAGTAATTCCACTCTTAGGTATCTCTCCAAGAGAAATGAAAACATAACCCACACAATGACTTATTCGTAAATGTTCTTAGCATTATTATTCAAAATATTGCATATAGCCTAATATTGGTTGCAGCCCCAAATTGGAAATGATTTACATTTCTACCAACTGGTGAATGTACTATATCCATACAATGGAATATGAATTGTCAATAATAAGAAATACTGTTACATACTGTAACATATGAATGAACTGCAAAAATGTTATGCTAAGCAAAAGAATCCAGACCCAAGAGAAAACAAATTGTATAATTCCATTCATTTGAAACACCCAAAAGAGGCCAATTTGTAGAAACAGAAAATGGATTAGTAATTGCCTCAGCTTGGAAGATGGAGGAGGGTAGTGGAGGTGGTGGTGGGAAGTCACCGCAGGTGGGCGTGCAAGGCTGGCCCTGCTTGTTGTTGTCAGGTGCCACAGAGTGAACCCTGTGCACAGCAGAACGAAACGCTGCCTGGTCCTGTGCCAGCCTCACAAGCCTTGCTGTGCTTGAGCCCATCGTTGCAACACTGGGCCACTCCATCTCCTTGAGGGTCTTCTCACTTTTGCCTCGACCCTCCACCTTACCAAGCTGACATCCTTCTCCAGGGAATGGCCTCTTCTGACAACATGACCAAAGTAGGTGAGACCAAGTCTGGCCATTCTCGCTTCTGAGGAGCAGTCTAAGGAGCATTTGAGGTCCTACTGAGGTGATAAAAAATGTTCTAAGACTGTTTCATGATGACACTTGCACAATTAGGTGAATTTACTAACATAAATATTGAATTAGATGCTTGAAGTGGGAGAATTATGCAATATGTAAAAGATGCCTTACTAAAGTTATTACACTATAATCAAATAACCCGTTGGCGTCAAGGCCCCTTTAACGCACGGCGACCCCCTGTGTGTCAGAGGAGAACAGTGCTCAGGAGTTTTCAGGGGCTGCTTTTTCAGGAGCGGACTGTCAGGCCTGCCTTTGGGGGAGCCTCTGGCTTCACTCGGCTTCCCCCTTCAGTCAGCAGCTGAGTGAGTTTGTTTGCCCCACTCAGGGATTTGTATTAAACTGTGTACACATATAAAAAGTCAGGTTGCAGTTTGGACTAGAATAATGTAGAATGAAGGAGAATTTTATACGATCTCGAATGCTTAGCTTGTATCTGTTTGTAATCTCCGTTTCATTGGGATTCTTTACTAATGGTGGGAGAAGCGGTCTAAAATAGTACGTGTCTAATGCTTTTGATTTTTTTGGTGCCCCTCCCTACTTAGGGAGATTAAAATTTCACTTTCTATTTGGATATTTGGCACTGTGTGTAGTTGATGCTGGCTTCTTGTTGTTGTTATGTGCCGTCGAGTCAGCCCCGACTCACAGTGACCACCCCTTGGGTTTCCGAGGCAGTATCCCTATGGAAGTAGATTGCCCCATCTTCCTTCCGAGGAGTGGCTGGTGGGTTTGAACCACCAGCCTTCTGGTTAGCAGTCAAGTGCCTTAGGCACTACGCTAGTTGATGCTGGCAGATGGACTCATTTGAATCATGCACTGATAAGTGAATTCTCAGACATGTGGGTTAAGTAAAGGTAAAATGAAAAGAATATGTAGTTGTTATGTCAACCTAATGTGTGTTCTGAATATGGATCCCTTCTAACTATAGAAAATATTTGTTCTTTCAGTGGCCCAAAATAGAATACTGAAATAACAGATGTATTATAAGTATTATAACAGATAAAATCCAAATTTAATTGAAAAAAAAATAAGTTGCCTAAAACTTAAATAGTTTACACACTATGATGATAAGTGTGACCTAATATAAAACCAAATCCACTGCCATGGAGTTGATTCCGACTCATAGTGCCCCCCATTGGTTTTCCAAGGCTGTAAATCTTTATGGAAGTAGATTGCTTCATCCTCTTCCCACAGAGTAGCTGGTGGGTTTGAACCACTGACCTTCTGGTTAGCAGCCAAATGCCTTACCCACTATGCCACCAGAGCTCCTTATGACCTAATATAGCATTTAATGTTCAATTTGATCAAAATTTGAAAGTTTTCATTGATAAGAGAGAAATTGGCATCGAAATAGCAGCCAAAGCCTTATCCACTGTGCCATCACAGCTCCTTATCTCAAAAGGGGTAGAAAATATATTTTAAAGCTTTTGTTATAGAAAAGACAAGGATGGACATAGTAAAGACAGAATTAAATGGAAAAAATTCACATTAATTTGTGACCTTTAAGAAAAGTGGGGTTGGCCATTCAAGTGGACTGGTAGTCTCTGTGTCCTCCTTTCCTCCCGCACTCCAGAAGCATTGTGGGTAAAGATAACACAAGAGAAGAACAGAAGAATGGTAATCAATCATTATCAACAGCAGATACATGGAGTGTGTGTGCAGTATGGCTTTGCATAGGGAATAAAAGCCATGGAAAAATTCTCTTCACCTGGCCTGGAGGTTTCAAAGAAGTCAAATTTGCCACTTTATTGCTTCTTTTTAGAAGATTTCAAATTAGTCAATCTCCTAATATAGGGATATATCCTATCTAAAGAAAGAAAGAGACGTTATAATAAATTATAAAAATAACCTGCTATTCCATTCTTATAAGTTAAAAGAACATAAGAGTTGTTTCAGTGTTTCTTGTTTGGGACATACACACACACACACACACACACACACAAGGCACTAAGGGAACCTAATGAGAGGGATTGTTGTTGTTGTTGTTGTTGTTGTGTGCCATCAAGTCAGACCCAACTCATAGGAAGACCTCCTTGGGTTTCCAAGGCAGTATCATTAGAGAAGTAGATTGCCCACCCTTCTTTCCGAGGAGTGGCTGGTGGGTTTGAACTGCCAGCCTCTGGTTAGCAGTCAAGTGCCTTAGGCACTATGCTACCAGAGCTCCCATGGCAGGGATTAATGATGTATAAACCCAGTAGTTAATGGCTGTGTAGTCAAGGGAGCGAGGGCATATTTTGGTCAAAGAAAGAAGCCAGGGACTAGTGTCTCAGCACTAACTGTCAGCTTCAAAGGAAGAGACAAGGGACATAAACAAACCAAACAAGTCCCTACACCAGGGACTGCAAACCAGGAGGATCAGGCACCGATAGGCAAGAGCCATGCAGGATGGATTAGAACAAATATAAATATTTTGTAGCAGAAGCTGAGTTTCATGGCATGAGGATAGTCTGCTGGATGAAGGCACCACACCTGACCACGCAACTAGAATTTTAGTCAGTGTGCCTGTGCACACGGGGGCTCCCTGCCTGCTCATTGTAGCTGTACGACTGTTCATGGAGAGTGTATGTGTTTTTCTTTCCATTGGAAAGATGAGGCTGTGCTGCACACAGCCTCCTTAGCTTATTTTATTATTATTATTTAATGTAAGTACACAGAGGGCATTTCAACACACGTTCTTACACCATGCTATGCTCATTTCTATTCCAGCTTGGACAGTTATAGACGGTGCAGCCTTGCTCCATGGTGTGAGAAATGGCCGTAGGAAACAACACTCAACGAAGTTATTCCATCATCCCATGTTTTATATTTGTTGAGGTACGTGTATTTTTTAACTTTATGGACAAATTGGAATAATAGCAGTCTTTATGCTGACAACTTGGATTGTTTTGTAAAATTATTTCATCTTATGGTTGATTGAGAGTTAAATCTTAATAGCACAGATATTGATAAGAAATAAGTTATGCACAATGTTTCTTGAATTGGAAGCCATAGATAGGAAGATTTGTACAAAATAATTACATGTTGTATTGTATTTCTTTTATTTCCAGTGGTGAACAAATGTATTATTAACTATCAAAGACAGGGCAGCATTTTAATGAAATCCTTTCCTAGAAGTCAATGTCACGGTCCAGGAATTCAGTGAAGCAGACTTTTAGCTGATGATGCTAGTTCATGGACTTTTGCCTTGGAGCACAAATAAAAGAAAAGAAAATTCTTAAGAGTTGCCCATCTCTCCTGGGCATTTTTCCTTAGCGAGTACTGGGAGCTTGTGTAGTGGGTAATTTCTTTTGCACAAGAATCGGTTTGCTGAGTCGTTCCCAGTTTGTAGCAGTAAACGGTGTCTCCAGCATCTTTTTGGTTGAACTTCCTGTAGCTGCTTCCCCACCGTGCCCCCTTTATAGGATTCTTGCTACAGAGGAAGGAAAGACATGGACACTTTAGGAAATTTGAAATCATGTGATGCTAAATGAAGTTACTTTCCAGGATATTTTAAAATAAGATACTGATTTGCCAAAGTAGTATTGTTTCTGCTTCTCAAGGTAATGGGGCATCCAGTGGATGGTTTTTCATTGTGAAGTTCAGGTTGAGAATGCTATGGTGTGAAAACTACACTACAGGTTGAGGTGCCCAGTGTGAAAACTCAGTGTTCGGAGCTTCCTGCCTGGGTGGTCTCCAAGTCCTCAGGGTCAGCTCGAGAATATTTATCGATTATGAGGTCTTTTTGGCTGAGTATGGGAGAAGCATGTTGACCCATGTTACTGTCCAAATGTGCTTACAGCACCTGCATTGTTCAAACACAGCTTGTGAGTGAATGCAACATTTCTCCCCCTTGAAATAACTTTTGCTGTCTATATAATCAGTTGGATAATTTTGAATAGTTTTCTTTTTGGCTAAGTATATGTGTGTTTGGCTGAATCCTGGAGTTTCATCTTATAGACATCCCTTGACTATTGACATGAATAAATATTTGATGATACTCTGGTGATATTTATGAACCTGTTTGTTTGCAGAAACAGATAAACAACTAGGTTGGGATAGAGGTGTTCATATAAGTCAAAGTGCATCTAGACTAAGGCTCATACAAATCTGAAAGGGTAAACTAAGAACTCCTCACCCAACAATAAACACATGGTCTTAATACTCTGCCTTTAACTTGCTGTACAAGGCTAAGGATAAGCCCATCCAGACAATAAATATCCACTATGTATATTGTGAATCCAGTTAGCGTTGTTGCTTTTGAAATTGTGCAAATACGAAAAGGAGTGATTTTTCCTGTTGCTCAGGTGGACAGGGTAGAAGGCTATAGCACTACCTATGTCATTGTTAAAATCCTTTCTCTTTTGCTATTTTTTTTTTAACGTTTAAAATATTTTAGGGGAAAACTGGAAAATAAGTCATCTGTCATCATCTTTATCATCCCAGAAGCAATTTTATTTTAAATTTTCTTAAAAATCAAACAGGAACCAAGTCTCAAAGTAAGGGATTTAATTTCTTGCTGGAAGCTATAGTCTCTGAAGATTTCCAGCCATCAAATGTGTGAACGATGAACTTGACTGATAGAGCAAACAACACAGAGAGAAATCAGTCTTTCTGTATGCTTATCCTGACACAAGCATAAAAATAAGCCTAGAAATCTGGGAGAAGGAAGATAGGTTGTGTGTTTCTTTTGTGTGTTATTATTCTTATTTTGCATGGAAATTTAAGGTATATCAGTGACTTCTCAGAAACAGGAAGAAGAAAGAAAAAAACAATGTGAAGACTAGAGTAGAAACTGAGAGGGCTAGGGGACTCTCAAGGCAGGCTCATAGTTCTCACGCATTGGTCCACTCTTGGCTCTCTGGTTCACCCACCATATTCCAGGCACTATCTCAGGGGTAGCAGAAGACTTGTTGCTGTTGAGTGGACCCCCCGGCTTGTGGTGACCCCATGTGTTACACAGCAGAACTGGACCCTAGGGTTTTCTTGCTGGTAATGTTTAGGGAAGCAGTTCACCAGGGCATCCCTTCTTCCATGGAGTGACTGAATGAGTTTGAACTGCTAGCCTTTGGGCTAGCAGCCAATTGCAAACCTCTTGCGCCACCCAGGCCACTTTAGCAGAAAACTTCTTGGTCAGAAGTAACTCGGTTAAAATGCCATTCGACCAATGAATATCCTTTCATTGTTGATTTTTAACTATGAAGTAATTCAAGAATAAAATAAAAGATGTACCTTCACCCAACATCAGGAGCAAATAAACTTAAAATTTTGCCATATTTGCTTTAAAATTGCTAGGAAGGTACTGAAATGATACAGATGTGGCTGTAGTCCTACTGTCGTGGCCCCAGAAGTAACTATATATGGAAAGTTAAAAGGGTCATTGCTTTGTGTGATCCCTGTACGTTTCTGTACTTTTTCTCCATGTATACATATTCATAAATGATATTGTAGGAAAATTTTACATAAATGACACCTTACGGAAGCTTCCTTTTGCAACTTGCCTTTTTCATTCAATGTTATGTGTCTGAAACACATCCAGTGGATAGCTCATTCCTTGTAATGGTTGCGTAGTGTTTGATTCTGTAAATATACCTACTAAGGGAGAGTTGGATTCTTTTTGCTTGTTTCCTTAATATGTGTTTTACTCTTACAAAGTGTTTTGCAAGTTCCAGGATGGCCCACAGCAACATTTGCCACCAAGAGTTTTCAACTTTTTGCCCTCTGGTTCTACCAGTGCAAGTAACAAAAGTATTTGAATCCTCCTCACGCCAAACAGCGAATAGGCGAAAGCTAGAGCAGCCCGATGGAGCAGGCAAACAAGTAGAAAATTAACAAATGTTATAATCACCCTTGATGTGAACATGAGGCTATCTACTTCCTCATTCTTATCATTGTACCTTGAGGCCGAAACAGGAACTTTTATTGGTGGTAAAAGTACTTACACAAAATAATAATGTTAATCCAGACAATCAGAGCTTCTCTCCTTGTGTTTTTCATCCTTAGTGTCTTTTCTCTCTCTCCCTCTCCTTTGTCCTTCCTCCTTCCCTCCCTCTCTTTCTGTTTTGATGAAGCAGTCCCCCACTTCCTCCTCTCTCCTTCTCACTCTCCCTGTGTCTTTCAGCAGCCCCTCTGCAGCTTGAGGATCTACAAAGAGAATTTCCCTGAGGGGAAGTTCACCCAAAGCGTTGACTGAAGCATCGTTTTTCCCCCTAAAAACAAGAATGTGAACTTTTCAGGGCTCCCCTTGCTACCACTCTCCCCCAACCAATATCAGATGTTGTCGTTGTTTGTTGTTGTTATGTGCCGTCGAGTCGGACCCGACTCATAGCGACCCCTCCTTGGGTTTCCAAGGCGGTATCACTATGGAAGTACATTGCCCCGTCTTCCTTCCGAGGAGTGGCTGGTGGATTTGAACCGCCAGCCTTCTGGTTAGCAGTCAAGTGCCTTTAGGCACTATGCTATCAGAGCTCCTATATCAGATGTATCCCTCCAAAATGCTTAGAACTGAGATGCACTTTTGACAAATTTTTCTGGCTATCAGTGGAGTACTCTTAAGACCATTTCATTGCGTTCTGTAAAATTGTGACTAACTCAAGCAGCCAAGTCTCTTTTAAATGCATTTGTGCTAACAGCCAACTCTAATGGAGCTTTGCTTCCTCAGCAGACCGTATTAAGTAGCAGGAGTTGGGACGTAATGAATGCAACTGTTCCTGGATGTGTACACATGTGACAGTTTTATCATTTTGATGCTTGCTTGTACTTGCAGTTTTTATTGCCTGTTTTTGACAACACATTTTTCTCGGCTCCAACTTACCAGGTGATTGTTATAAATCCCAACCCGGAGATAAATAACCCATGGAGCTCTGCAAGGATTTGACGAGTCTGAGTGTCTTTCTCTGGGGGCAGAAGTTAAGGAATTCCACATCATCATTTCTGAACACTGAGCGTCACCTCAGTGCCACCCTCATCCTTTGTGCCTCAGGCTTTGAGAGAAAAATGTGTCCTGGCCTTGCTGTCTGCTCTCCACCTCAGGCACTTGGATTTCAGAGCTTTGACGGTCTTGTTTCTGAGACTCACACTGGGACTTTCTTAGATTTTAAGATAGTTAAGTCACATTAAGAATTCCCCTTTATTCTTTTTCCCCCTAAATAAATTCTCCTCACTCCTGCCAAGGAAAAAGTGTAAAAATTGTATTCTTATGTATAATGAAGTGGAAATATAATAGAGGATATTCTCTAGCCATAGAAACACGCTTGGCCTACCAAGGTAAGTGGGCCGTAACTGCTAGGAAGTTAACACTCCCAGGAGCGGCCCTCAGCCGGTGAAGGACTGGCAATGGCAGTAAATGGCCCAGTTTGCCACTGAAGGATGGATGATGGGGGATTCCTATCCCAGTTTCCTCACTGCTCAGAGGAACTTTCTGAGGGGGTTTCTTATAGTCTGGAGGGTTCCCCAGCAAGACAGAATGCTTGTTTCCCACTGTGATAACCCACTCATCAATGGGCCATTTACTGGCTTCCCTCTCCCCTCCCCCATCTCCCTTGCTCACTCCCTCCATGATTTCTGGGATCACTTCACAAAAAAACTACTTGGACTACCTTATTGTTCCAGAGTCCATCTTGAAGGAGTGCAGGCAAAGGCAGGGAATATATATGGAGTAGAATAACTTCAAACAGTACTGGGAGGTGAGATTAGAAGAATAAAGGGCTAAAACATGTTTTAAAGAAGTAATTAAGTTAATTTCAGTAATCTGAAGGCCATGTGGTCCAGGCTACTGATTATCGAATTAAAATAGAGTTGATTTGGGAAATTTTATTTTTCATGTTTATTATCATTTC